CCCCCCCCCCCCCCCCCCCCACCTCCCCTCAAATGATACAATTTCGAGAATGTAACTAAAACTAGACTATATAAGAGAACAAGTTGGCTGAAATCATTGCTTGCAATACATAGATAAACAACGAATCACTAGGTCTTAGCATCTGTCATAACTACCACCAGACAGTATAGCAGCGAGAGGTATTAGAGGGGGGGGGGCAGAGAAACATTATAAACCAAACCAAGAACAACATAACTACATTCAACGGACGACACAACAAAATATTATACGAGAAAGACGTATGCTTCTTCTCTCCCCAATAACACAATGTAACAGAGACAAGAAAAAGTAAAGTACCTCTTTTCTAGCCACACCACTTCCCATTTTGACGACCCCTTTTCCCTGTCTGACAGCGATTAAATAAAATATCTTTCTTCTTATGTGTTTTCAGAGAAACTCAAAAGTGTTTTGTATTAAAATATACGGAAATGAATTTCCTCATTGTCGCGCCATCGAATGGGGATGACGGTAAGGAATGAGATAAGTGGCGTTGAGTCGCAGAGTTGAGAGTAGCTTATTCTTGCCTGGCATGAGGGCCAGCGTGGATATTGTGGGATACAACATTTCACCAAATGAATGGATATATTATATGCTTGGTGAAAGAACTTCCCCACTCGGAAGTCGAAATCTTGTCTTCTGTGTGCAACGGTGAAGAACCAAAACACTATAAGCCCAGACGCCAATTTCTAAACACATGAATACGTATTCGTCCACTTATTAGGCCTACAGATAAGCTTGCGCTTGCTGGTCAGCCTTTGTTGTTTCGTTTTAGTGCATGACGTCTTATCTTTGCCTTGAAAGAGTTTGGAAAGGGAAGCAAAAAGGAGGGTAGGGAGGGGGGGGCAATACATTTATCACTTTCAATGACTTTTCATTGGCAAAACTTGCTTTTTTGACGTTGTTGTTGTTGTTGTTGTTGCGCATAAGACCCCGGGTATACGGAGCTAAAGTAGCAAAGCTTTTGCTGCATAATCAAATCTATCCCATTCTGGGATACACTGGATTTTTTCAAGTCACATAACGTTTCAATAGACTGTACCCAAGAATGACCGGCTCCAGCTTGCTTGTTGAAGGAAATTTGTTTTCATTTACTCGTTTTTTCCCCATGCCCCCCCCCCTCCCCCCCCCCACCCCAACTCCTGTACCCTCAATTTATTTTGTTCTTTATTATTTGTTTTAGGTAGTCTTTGTATACTTTCCGGGGGAATGCACCGGAATTAAGCTGCAAAGCAAACCATTCCAAAGGTAAGGGGTGGGTTTTTTTAAAAGTCGAACTCATTACATGATTGACTTTCCTGGTTGCTCTGTTGAGGGAGAGAGAGAGGGGAGTGGGAGGGGGGAGAGAGTGGAGAGGGTAGAAAAAGAGATATGAGATAATAAGAGAGAGAGAGAGAGAGAGAGAGAGAGAGAGAGAGAGAGAGAGAGAGAGA